AGTTCTGTGAAGAGTATCAATGGTAGCTTAATGGGAATAGCACTGAATCTGTAAATTGCTTTGGGCAGTATGGCCGTTTTCATGTTATTGATTCTTCCTGTCCATGAGCAGGAAATGTTTTTCATTTGTCTGTGTCATCTCTGATTTCTTTGAGCAGTGGTTTGTAGTTTTTTGGGTTTTTTTTTGTTTGTTTGTTTGTTTGGAGAGATCTTTCACCTCCCTAGTTAGCTGTATTCCTGGGTATTTTATTTATTTTGTGGCAATTGTGAATCAACGTTCATGCCTGATTTGGCTCTTGGCTTAACTGTTGTTAGTCTATAGAAAGACTAGTGATTTTTATACATTGATTTTGTATCCTGAGAGTTTGCTGAAGTTGTTTATTAGCTTAAGAAACTTTTGGGCTGAGATAATGGGGTTTTCTGAATATAGGATCATGACATCTGCAAAGAGGAATAGTCCGACTTCCTCTCTTCCTATTCAAATGCTCTTTATTTCTTTCTCTTGCCTGATTGCCCTGGCCAGAACTTCCAACACTATGCTGAACAGAAGTAGTGAGAGAGGGTACCTTTGTCTTATGCCAGTTTTCATGGAGAATGCTTCTAGCTTTAGCCCATTCAGTATAATGTTGGCTGTGACTTAACCTATTTTATAAGACAAACTTTATTCTGATATCAAAACTAGACAAAGGCATTAAAAGAGAACTACAAAGCAACCAACTTTTTAAAGCAAATTATGCTGAAGTTACTCGATATTCACCTGAAAAAAAGATGAACCTCAACCTATATCTGCTACTATATATAAAAAATAACTTGAAATGGATCATAGATCTAAATGTAAAAGCTGAAGTATAAATCTTCTACAGGAAAATATCTTCACAATCTTGAAATACACAAAGCTTTCTTAGGACACAAAAAGCACAAATCACAGAAGAAAAATTTTAAGTTAGACTTCATCAAAATTTTAAATTTCTGCTTTTCATAAGGAAACACAATTTAAAAAGTAAACAGGAAGCAACAGAAGAGGAAAGACTATGTCATATATACATATATAAAAACTATATATGTTTTATGTTATATATTATGAATAAATATGTCCTATGTCTTTATATTTACATATATATAGTATATATATATACACATACATAAATGTATATGTATATATACATGGAAATATAATAAAGACTTTTATCCATAATATAACTCAATAAGAGGAAAACAACCCATTATTTTAAAGTGGGAAAAGGATTTGGACAGTTGAAAGAAGATATTTGAATGATGTATATGAAGCACATGAAAAGATGCTCACCATCACCAACATCATTAAACTAACACTATGCTACCAATACTATCACCCAAGAGAAATGAAAGCATACGTCAGTACAAATAGCTGTGAACAGATGTGCACAGCAGTTCTATTCATAATGGCACAAAACTGAAAACAACCCAAAAAGTACTATGTGATATGGAATACTATTCAGAAAAACAAGTGAACTGCTGAAACACACAACAACTTAATGAGTATCCAAAAACCTTATGCTCAGGGAAAGAACCTAGACATAAAAGAGTACCCACTGAGTAATTCCACTTAAATGAAACTATAGAAAAGCAAGTCTAATCTATAATGATGGAAAGGAGACCCATGGTTGTCTGGGGACAGCGGCGGGGAATGAGGGCAGAAATTAACTGTAAGGGGGACTTTTTCAGGTAATGGAAATGTTCATAGCTTAATTGTGGTGGTAGGACATGGTTATATACCTTTGCCAAAACTCACTGAACCATAAACAGAATGGATGCATTTTAAATGTATGCAAATTATATCTAAATAATGTTTTAATATGTACTTAGGGGAAAGCAAACTAGTCTAGAAAATAAAATATTTCCTAATTCATTTTATGAAACTAACATTAAAACTCATCTCCTAAGCAATCTACAGAGAGAATTCCTATGGTTAAGACAAAATACTGATTATTTACTTCTTAAAGCAAGACCAATACATTCTTCTTCTGGGCTCAGTTATGCTACCACCTCAGCCTCTCGAGTAGCTGGGACTACAGGTGCATGCCACCACACCTGGCTAATTTTGGTATATTTTGTAGAAACAGGGTTTGGCCATGTTGTCCAGCCTGGTCTCCAATGCCTGGGCTCAAGCAATCCTCCACCTTGGCCTCTCAAAGCGCTGGGATTACAGGCATGAGCCACAGCACCTGGCTACAAATTGTATTACTTTAAAAAATTCTCTCAGTATTAAAGTTCACTCAGTCATGATTAATAAATGAGTTAAGCCACATGTAAACAATGTATCATCTTGTAACTCATTTTGTGGAAAAAAATCAGACATACACAATAGTAGAAACAGTGGCATAATGAACTGCCATAAACACATCATCCAGATAACAAAATTCAAGATGCTGCTATCTTGTTTTCTCTTTGTTTTTTTCCTTTCTTTTAAAAGAAAATCCTGGACATCCTGTTACTTCAGTCTCACATACTTCAATATGCATTAATAACCCCAAAATGAGTATTTTTAAGACCTCTTGTTAAGATTATTTGTTTTTGTACAGTTTAGATACACTAGATAGCTTTCTCAATATACTACATGCCTGGCTAAATTCTGGCTACCCCTCTTTGATATCATAGACTTTTCAACTTATAAAATCTATGGCAACTACATAATTAATTTTTATAATCTTTCAAAGAGCATTCTTTCCTGTAAGGTTTCATTGGGTGCTTTTGGCTTACAGCCTACATTAAACCTAGACATGCCATTTATATATAGTATAAACCTCAACTTTTCATTTGACAAGGAAACTAATTTCTTGTTTTCACAGAAGGATGGAGAGAAATAAAAGTGGTCACTAGGGCTTAGCCAAAGAAAATGTTATCTCACAGCTATTTAAAATAGATATTATATCCCTATACAAGTATACACTGGGTACAAAACCATATTCTAAACAATTTAAAGAAAGGGAGAAAATATTCACACAACCTAGTGGGGGCTCCTCTCAGTAATTTATGGTCAAATATTCTTCACTGTAATGAATCTGCCAATATCATCACATCCCATAACATCCATTCTCCTAAAGGATACAAGTCACAAAAAATCAGTATACTTCATCTGGAAACATATTTGATATATTTACTATAGCTACTGCTTTGATTCAGGAAGAAGAGAGACCACAGCATTTTAATGATGAATTGTGCCAGAGTTGACCTGCTAAGTTCCTGAAGGCTAAACCCTAAGATCTTAAAAGTAAGTAAATGGATCTTCATCTATGAAACAAATTTTCCCTAACTGACCAAATAATAATTTGACATATTGAAAAAAACAGTATGTAGATAGTTTGGATGGTTGTCCCTTCTAAATCTCTTAAATCTTAAAGATAAATCCTCACCTCAGCTATTTAAGTACATACATACAAGAATGGAACATGAACTGTGTGTATTGACACTGACTAACTTGTGACTACATGAGATAATAGTGCTTTTCATATACACAGTATTCACTCACTGTATGTTACTTTTCCTAACCTTCCAATTTAACTGACTCTAACAGAACCTATTAAATTCAGTTTGATTGCATAAGATTATGACAGTCATTAATTAGCCAGACTTTTAAGTGAATTAAAGATAAACTGCTTGGTTAAGAGGGCTTTTTCCTTTTATTCACCCGCTGTTTATTACAATGCAAAGTAGAATACCAATATTTTAAAACTTCATTAAGAGTGTAATACTGACTTTTCCTGCGTCTGAATCAAGCCAGTTTTGAAACTTGCTGTTCATTCAAATTTACACCAAAATTTCTATCAGTCTGGGAAAATTTGATTGCAATTTTAAAATAATGCAGCTGACTGATCCAATTTTACTCTCCACTTCAACAACAACAAAAAAGCTGAACAACAGTTTTACCTCAGGAATTACTTCTGAGGCAAGTATATAATAAACATTCATTTTTATTTGTTCTTTTTCCCCCATCTATGTCACCACCAAAAAAGCAGATTATAAAACTTAAATTATACAAATGTCAGGAGTTCTTGCAAGTAAGCTACTTGGTTTAGCTAAAAATGTTTGACTAACCTTTTAAAGTTTTCTTTCATTTTTTTGTTAGCAGATATAATTAATCATTTGCTAAATGTTAACAGTTTCTGTTTTAAAAGAAAAGAGTTTTCCTGCTAAAAAAAATTCCTATTAGTAAATTGGAAGCTCTTTTGCTTACTTTTTACCTTTATGAGAGCAACAGAATCAGTTTAGAAATTAACCAATTGAGGCAAGTCATCTCTTATCTTAGGAACATAAATGTTGAAATTTTTTAAAAAAGTGTTATCAAACTTCTTTCCCTCCACATGAGCAGGCTTTCATATTACTATTGCCTGTTGTTTAAAATTTTAAAAAGGTATTCATTGCCATGTGTGGGGGGCAGGTTGCATAAGATAGTTTTTCCTTTGGCACAGCTTCATTTAAAACAAATATTAAAACCTTCAGGTCCTCCTAGAAAGAAAGGAGGATGGTATCGTGTACTTCTTACAGTTTTTTTTTCAATGACATACAAATGCACCTGAAAATACAAGTTACATAACAATGTCTGCACAAACTTTATGCCTAGAAAAGGGATGCTGATAGCTGTATGAAGAATGAAAACTAAAAGTACCTTTTATGGTAGCTGTATCAATAATTTTAAAATATATATGTTATTGTCACTTGAGGAAAAGAAAGATCATTTAAACAACTGGACTTTGTAAGAAAACAGGTATTGGGGAGACTGAAAAAAACTTAAATGTGGTCCATTCACCACTGAGGATACTATTCATTGAATAACAAAGATTATCTAACAAGTTTCCAGTTCTTAAGATGACTTATAGCAATACCGAAAATAATAACATCCTCTCTTGGAATCAGACAAAAAGCCAGTAAAACAAGGTTGAGCACAGCCTTTCCACACAGTAGTTATAAGTTGCTCAAGAGTGGAGTTCTAAAATTTATTTTGATTTTCTTAAACTCACTCACTTGTGACCAATCTCGTGTGCAATGGTAAAAGCTGAACCCAGGCCAATGTCTTCATTAATGCTGCAGCTCCTTTCAGGCTCACACATTCCAGCCACAGAGGCCAAGCCTGAATAAACAGAAAGAGACATAAAGGGTCAAGCCAAGGTGTTTCAGTCTTTAAAAGCCCATACTTATAAATGCCTGGATTCTTTTTAATAACCTCCATGCACAGAAGGAGCTGTTGGCAAAAGGTTAACTTTCTAGTCATTTGCAAAATCACTGGGGGGAATTTCACTTTGCCGGCTAGACATTAATATTTTTTGAACTGCAGTCAGTGCTGGAAAATGTCTAGACTAGGGGTTAGATTTATAAATTTTACTTCTGGTAACTTGGGACCACCTAGTAACTTGAGCCAGAAGAGGGAATTCAAGAAAGCATTTCTATTTTAACATTCTTCAGGCTGTAGAAAGCAAAATATATCCACATTATTTTTCTAAAGAGATCTGTTTAAGTTTAGTGGGTTCATAAAAATATACAAGCAACTTTCTAGTTACCAAAAAAGGGGGAATCCCAAATGATTTTTTAAGTGATATTTTTATTTAAAATAAAATGAATTATTCAAAATAGGTAAAGGAGAACTGTTAAAGATGGGAGGTTTTTGCATTTTTTTTAAATCTTCTGAAACTAATCCTGACAGTGATGCAACAGTTTCTTTGAGTATTTTAATAGGAGGAAAGTCATTCACACATTCAATGTCATTTTTCCTCTCGCCTATCCCCTACTTCATTACAATACAATGCATTAGAGTTTTACTAATAAAGCAAATATTATGGTGTTAATTCGCTGATTCCAGTGAAATGTTATGTTATTCAAGGTATTCTCCCTTGGGGATTTTAGTATGCAAAAGTTTTAATATTTACTTTCAAATGAATATTATGCTATGTGAAATACTACAGAACTTTAAAACAGTGCTTAGAAAAAAGAATTTTTGTGCAAAAGCAAAAATGTCATCTCTTATAAGGAAACAGATGCCAACTCATACTTCACGCTCATAGAAACAAAAAGTTATTTAGAAGAAGTTGAAGGGGAAGCAGGAAAAACATTTTTTATGGTTAGTAGTCTACTATCATCACCCACTTTCCCACCAAAAGTGATTTCAATTCAATTCAATGAATATTTATTAAATGCAATAAGCAATGTTCTGTGTTAGGTATAATTTCCCAGATGTACTAATTAGAAACAATAAATGCTATTCAATCCATGTTTTTGCTGACAGGAAAGCTCCAGAAGTTGTGTTTCCCTGTGCTTTCTAATATAAGTATTAACATAACAGCTACATTGAAACAGAGATGAGATTAGTGCTGGATTTGCTAACAGATTGTTTGCTTTTCCTACTGTTTTATGCGAGAGGGTCAGGAGTTAGGGAGGGAGTTGATTTCTGCCTCACAGAGTTATCAATGCTACTGAGCTGCCTTTCTAATCACTAGAGGTATTGGGACCTGAAAAAGAGCATGTAAGAAGTGGAGCAGGAAAACTTATTTTTTTTGTTTCAGTCAATTTTTTGTTATACTTAATATCTGTTTAAATAGCAAAAATATTTTAATGAATGTGATTTCCAATCTCCACTGAAAGAGAGACACATACAGTGAACTTTACCTTTATTTTGAGAAAAATAAAATGAGAAGTAGAATAGAAAAATACCTGAAATCTTGAAAAAAAAATGTTGCAGTATATTATCTGGCTTCAAGTTATTTGGTTCAAAGTGGCCTATTATACTGGAAGAACAAAGCCACTCTGAATACTGTTTCTGTTTTGAGCTTTATGAAATGTATGCTGTTTTTTTTTTTAAGAAAAGCATAATTACTAAGATTAATTATTATTAAATTAATGTTTCTTACATTTCCCAACATTTATTATTCCATGGGCTAGCTTTTGAGTTTTGTTGTGTTGTATTTTGGTATGTGCCATGTGGCTGTATTTTCAATTGAGAATTCTCAAGGACCCCTCAAGGTGTATTTACAAGCACAGATTTATTTCTGCCATCTTATATAAAATTGTTATCTCCGCTAAAACAACAACTTAAGAAAGAATATACTTGGGAAATTACTACTTATTAAAATATAAAGCCAAATCTTAACTAAAATGAAAGTATTTTAAATGCTAATGTATTTTCACATCCCCCCACAATTTTCTGTATCCCTATAAAATTGAGACTGTCAGAGTTCTTATGTGTGATTCTGTTAATAGCTGTTTGATTACTATTTGGGTCATTTAGATTTCCTCAGCTTGATGGCCACAGTTTGCACCCTTAAACCTACTTAGCCATGTTACAATTGGTCATCAGAATTATTAAGCAAGAGACTCTGGAAAAATCAGTATAAAAACCAATATGATAGTGACTAGAATACAACTTCAAAAGTAATTTAGTCAATTCTGTACCGATAATATATTTTCCACAGATGAAGTTAAGATGTGTATGTGTGTATATATATATACATACATATATATGCAGCTCATTCAGTTTTCACTATAAGAAGTAGTATAAAAACCATATACAAGTCTATAATTTGAAAAATAACTTATATTGAGCTTGAAAGTGCATTGGCACGTACTTATTATTGTACTGGTTCTATAAACTAAAAAACTATCAAGGTTAGAACACATTATTTTTAAAAACACAAAATGAATAGTAGAATAGGAAAATACCTAAAATCTTTGCCAATAATGACAACAAAACTATTAGGCAGTGGTCTTACTTCTCTGATTAGATTGGTGCAAAAGTAATTTTAAAAGTAATGGTGAAAACCGCAAATTACTTTTAACCAACCTAATACAACGAAGAGCATATCTCAATGGAAATAATCTACCTTCAAAAAGCAGAATATATATAATTATATAAATTTATACATATATATATGTAGAGAGTGGATGTGTATATATATATATAGAGAGAGAGAGAGAGAAATACACACATATATACAGTAAATTGTTTGCTTTTCCTATTGTTTTATGCAAGAGGGGCAGGAGTTGGGGAGGGAGTTGATTTCTGCTTCACGGGGTTATAAATGCTAGTGATAACACATATATACAAAATATGTGTGTATTTCTCTCTCAGAATATATATAATTAAATAAATTTTTATATATGTATACATAGAGGATATATATATTTAGAGAGAGAGAAATACATATATATAGAACCATTTCTTCAAATATAAATACACTAGAAAAATGCTAGCTCTAACTAATATGTGCACCCGATTTGAGGTCTAGTATCTATTATAACTAAAATTGATTGAACACTTAATAAACACTTAGAGAATCTGTGTACAGTAAATATGGGGGGACAAGTTCAAAAGTATAGGCAATTTCTACATTAAATAATACCAGTTCATTTTGTTACTACTTCTTTACTAAATACATCTACAATTTTTTCCTTAAATGATTTTAACAATGTCCATGCAGCATAAGGGCAAACATTACTCCTATATTATAGATAAGAAAATTGAGGGACAAAGAGCTTAAATACACTGTAAAAGTTAATGCACTGAAACTGTCAAAGCCAGTTGTTAGTTCCCAGTTCAGCATCCCCTCTGTTGGATTATGATCGTCTTGTTAGCTTTAAACACTGCAAAGTAAATCATTTTGATGTGAACTTGCTCAGCAAAGAGAGCTCTGTCTGCATTATGCTTTTTAACTAGCAAGCTTCTCCATAATTAATACTCAGCATTGGCTAATTGAGATTTCTTCTTCAGCCATAAATCCTAAGGGAAATGGGTAGAAGAAGCCTGGGAAGTCAGGTAAAATTATCAAGAGAAGTTTTAGTTTCTGAAGAGATGTTTCACTGAACTTCCAGGAAGTTAGAAAACACTTTTCCTCCTACATCTACTTTATTTTGATCTTCCCAAAATGATTATGAGGTGCATAGGAATCAATTTCATAAGTATCCTTTTACAGATAAGAAAATTGAGACTTGTCATAGAGAAACTAGAGAATTCACCTTCAGTTGTTTAACTTCTGAGTCTGTAAAAAGTCTCTATGACATTAAAAAAATTATGGTAGAAAAAAAGCTTCTGCCCTTTAAAATAACTCTAGTTGCTTAAAAATTTAGACTACTGGAGAGCCACCCTTTTTGCCCATTTGTATTTGCAGTTAACTATGAAATTATGCTCTATAACAGGGTGTAATTTTTTAAAATTCCAGATTACAGAAATGCTTTAAAAAAGACAAATGATCCTTAGGGAGCACAAGAAAGATAATCCTGTCCTCTCTCTTCACCTGTTGCTATAATATTTTATAAGATTATTTTTTGTTGTTGTTTGGGTAGTAGAAATTTCCAATAATATCTTAATTTATGGGGGCTATACTTTTTCCACAAAACTGTACCAAAAGAAGTATTGTTCTTGATGCTTCCTCATTACATATCCCTAGTTGTTATTGTTCTTTTTTTTCCTTTCCTTTCCTAGCCTAAAAGTTCAAAATGTTGACTGCTTTCATTTGCTCTCACAGTTTTGGTATTTTTAGAAAATACATTACAGAGATGGATTATATGAAAATGAGTGATAACTTCAATTTATAATTCCTTAATGATTTTGAATCATATTCTATTAATCTTAATCATCATTCCAGTTGTCAAAAAAGCCAGTGACATTTATATAATATTTATGATAGCAATAAATACTTGTTTCCTAGTAAATGACATGTTCATGAAGGCAGGTTATAGGGATTTCAGAAGCACAAAATGAAAAATGGCCAAATTAATACTAACAATTAAAGTCATTGGTTCAAAAAGACAATCTGAACCATTCAACCTTTATTTAAAAAACAAAACAAAACAACTTACCCAGTGTTCCACAGGGCTTATTTTTATAAGTGCAGATATCGTATCTATGGAGGAAAAAAAGAGACAAAATTTGTAATCTGGTCAAATTTGTAAAATATTTTTCTATATTCATTACATCTCTCTCCTGGAGCTCTGATGTCAGACCACAATCAATGCCATTATGAGCAGTTAGCTGGAGTGTCGGCATTTTCGGCACGCCACAGTGCTGAGGGACACAACAGGCAGTACTATATTCACAGCCTCTGGCTGCAAGCCAGCAGAACACCTGCCAGTTAGACAGAAAGGTTAAAGTGGATTTTTGTAATCCCAAGTTCCATAAAACCATCTACCATGCTGTTTTGAAGCTGGAGTAGCTTATCTGCAGATTGCTACTACTTCTGCAAAAAGCAAATAGGTGGCACCTTATTTTCAGTCTCCTTTGAACCTGTGGAAATATGGTTTTATTGTAGCCACAGACTGTATTTTATACTTCTGAGCTACAGGCACTATTTGGAATTGCTTTAACTCTAGCACAGGTTCTTGTTAAAGAATAAGAGGCCGGGAGCGGTGGCTCATGCCTGTAATCCCAGCACTTTGGGATTATCACTTGTGCCATAACCTACTTATATACAAAATATAGAGACAAAAAAGAGTGAATATACATTGAAAACTAGGAAAGAGATTCATACAGGATATACATCTAAAACAGGTCTTAAAGATTGTGGCAGATAAAAAAAGAAAAGTAGGTCAGGCATGGTGGCTCATGCCTGTAATCCCAGCACTTTGGGAGGCTGAGGTGGGTGGATCACGAGGTCAGGAGTTTGAGACCAGCCTGGCCAGCATGGTGAAACTCTGTCTCTACTAAAAATACAAAAAATTAGCTGGGCGTGGTGGTGTGTGCCTGTAATCCCAGCTACTCAAGCGGCTGAGTCAGGAGAATCACTTGAATGCATGAGGCAGAGGCTACAGTGAGCCGAGATCGCGCCACTGCACTCCAGCCTGGGCGACAGAGCGAGACTCTGTCTCGAAAAAAAAAAAAAAAGTAAAAGCAGAGAACAGAATAGTCAAAGGAACAAAGTCTAGAAAGTGTATGGCATATCTAAAGAACTATGAGAATTTCAGAGAGGCTGAAACATTGAATGCTAAACCAGACTTGCTCTTCTTATAGACAAAAGCAACTTAGAAAAGTTTGTATAGTAGGAAAGAATTTTTTCAAAGTATGAGTATATATACAAATTGAGTTTATACACAGAGATGAATCTGGAAGGATAACACTGCGTATCCAAGGGAGAGGTGGAAGAGTAGGGAGAATATACACACATATATACATTTTTGTATAACGAATATTTAATCAGAAAGTCTTTCAGCTATGCCTGTCTCTGATGATAAACACAAACTATTCTCTGTGCTGTCAGTCCCATATTTCTTACAAATATAAAGAATCTTGAGAAAGCATGTAATTCAAGCTTTACTATGCTTAAGCCATAACTCTCAGTCTTCTCCCATCTTATCTTTAAATATCATTTTAACTGTATGCTGTGATAATATCTTCACTAACTTCACTCTGCCTTTCTTTCTTTTACCTAACTTTCTCGTTTTTATTTTGCATCACATTCACTCTATATCCCATCAACTCTTCTCTGCCATACTGTGGCTTTGCCCTGTTTTCCTCCAGATCCTGGCCTCTTCAGGAAAAATTACAAAGAACAATAATACAAGAAGTCTTGCTTTATCCCAAAGATATAACTGGTATACTTTTAGGACTTTTCTTGTAGTAATACAAATTGAAGAAAGAAGAGATTGAGGAAAAGGAATTCCCACTGCTTATTCTCAGCATCCTTTACAAAAGTTTGTCACTACTAAATACTTACCAACCCACAGGTGGTAGGAGCCCCCAAACTTAGGCCTGTGATCCTAACTTCAGACTAGGCTAAGAAGTACACTGGAATGCTAAGAACTAAAATAAAAGATGAAATAAAATTGGAAAATGTTCTTTATTCTGAAATTGGATAAAAAAAACAGTACCTTATCACTAGGGTAATTTTTTGGGTTTTTTTTTTTCGTTAAATTATAATAAAGGCTTTAGGTCAGATGAAAAAGAATTAAGAAAGACAGTCAAAGGGAATCTACATAAAGCCCAGTACTTTAGGGAAATCAGGGTTCCACTTTTGGGTGAGTAGATGAATGCACAGGTTGCCATCCTTTTACCCTAAATTCATAAGGTTGGACAATTGAGCAAGATTAAAAATAGAGAATTTGGTTGAGACTGTAACATTGGTATACTTTTCTGTTATGAATACTTTCAACTTTTTAATCTCCTAGTCACTTTTGCCTAGGGCATGGCTATCAGAAGAAACTGACGAAAACACATGATTAAATTACACTTTAAGATCTCCAAAATATAGCATTATCTTCCACCACCAGCAGACATGACCCCAGGCCAGCCAAGCAGCCCTGTGCCTGAATCCCAAGCCTGAGAAGCAGCCCATGGGCTTCCCCTGAAAGACACACCCTCCCAGCTGGCAAAGCAGCTGTGTGCTTGAGCCCAGAGCAAGACATAAACCCCCCTGGACTACCTGCAGCAGACATACACCCAGGCCAGCCAAGAAGTCATGTGACCAGCCGGGCACGGTGGCTCATGCCTGTAATCCCAGCACTTTGGGAGGCCAAGGCAGGCGGATAATGATGTCAAGAGATCAAGACTATCCTGGCCATGGTGAAACCCCGTCTCTACTAAAAATACAAAAATTAGCCGGGCATGGTGGCATGCACCTGTGGTCCCAGCTACTCGGGAGGCTGAGGCGGAAGGATCGCTTGAACCCAGGCGGAGGTTGCAGTGAGCCGAGATTGCGGCACTGCACTCCAGCCTGGTGACAGAGTAAGACTCCGTCTCAAAAAAAAAACAAAAAAGAAGTCATGTGACCACATCCCAGGCCTAAGAAATAGCCATGTGGGCCACCCCTGGCCCCTAGGATAACCAAGGAACTATGCAGCTGTGTCCAAGGCAAGAGAAACAGCCTGTAGTCTGCCCAGCAGACATGCCACCAGGCCAACTGAGCATCCTTATGCCTGTGTCACAGGCCTAAGAAACAGCCCTGTGGGCCAACCCTGGCAGATATGTCCCCATGCCAGCCAAGCAGTTGTGCACTCATATCCTGGACCTGAGAAATAGCCCTCCAAGCCAATCTTGGCTAGCACACTGCAAGGCTGTCTAAGTAACTGCATGTCTGTGTTTCCAATCAGAGTAATAGGGTTAGATGACCCTAACCCTAGTAAGTTAGACTACAAGCTAGCCAACCCACCATATGCACACATTTCTGACATGAGAAATAGCCCAGCAAGCCCACCCCTGGCAAAGCTATGCCACCATCAAAACAAACTCTCTTAGCCTAGGTCACTGAGAAATTCACAAATACCACTAGTGTGAATTACAGATGAAGAAACTACACACAGAAAATACTACTGTGTCTACCTAGAACCAAGGCCAACAGACCCCACCAAACTGACACCCCATGACTCACTTATATGGATTAATCTTTTCCTATGAAACCTACTCCATAAAATTAGAAGAGGTAGCTTTTCTACCAGCTGCGTAGAAATAAATATGGGAACACATCAATCATTAAAAAAAAAGGAAAAAAATGTCACCCCCAAAGAAACACAATAATTCTTCAGTAACAGAAACCAAATTATAAGGAAATATATGAAATGCTAAAAAAATGCAAAAACATAATCTTAAGGAAAGTGAGATATAATATAGACAACTCAATGAAATTAGAACAATTAAAGATTTAATTGATAAATTCAATAGAGATAAATGTCAAATAAAAAGAGAAGAAAAGATAAATACTAGAATAGAAGAATTAAATGAAGGAAATAACTGCAATCAAGACTTTCAACAACAGACTAGACCAGGCAGAAGAAAGAGCTTCCAAACAGGAAGACAGGTCTTTTGAAATAACACAGGAAGACAAAGAAAAGAAAGAAAAAAGAATGAAAAAAGCCTACAGCATTTATGGGACACCAGTAAGTTAACAAAAGTTTGTATTACGAGCTTCCAGAGGGGAAGAAAAGGAAAAAAGTGAGGAAATCATATTTTATTAAATAATAACAGAAAACATCCAAAGATTTGGGAGAGAGATAGACTTCCAAAGTCTTGGGAGAGAGTCCAGAAAGCTTGAATAACTCTGAATGGATTCACTCCAAACAGTCCTCTCCAAGGCACATATAGTCAAATTGTCAAAAGTCAAAGCAAAGAATTTTAAAAGCAACAAAAAAAAAGTGTCAAGTCTTATATACACAAATCACCATTAGACTAACAGCTAATTTCTCAGCAGAAACCTTTTAGGCCAGGAGAGAATAAGATGGTATGTTTAAAGCACTGAAAGAAAAAAAAAAAGCCACGAAAGAATATTATGCCCAGCAAAGCTATCCTTCAGAAATCTTTCACAGACTAGGAAAAACTGAGGAACTTTATTACCACTAGCCTGGCCTTACAAAACATGCTCAGAGGAGTCTCACATCTAGAAATCAAAAAATAATAACCACTATTATGAAAACACGTGGAATTATAAAACTCTCTGGTCAAGCAAATATACAAAGAATAAAGAAAGGAATCAAACCTCAACACTACAGAAAACCACCCAAGGGCAAAAGTCAACAATAAGAGAAGATGGAAGGAGCAAATGATAAACAAAATAACTGGAAAATGATCAAGAAAATGACAGTAATAAGTCGCTATTAATAGAAACCTTGAATGTAAATGGATTAAATCCCCCATTGAAAAGATTAGACTGGCTAAATAGATTTAAAAAAATAAAAGACCCAATATATATATTGCCTGCAAGAAACATACCTCACCTGCTTGAGGATCCAAGATGACTGAATAGGAACAACTCCAGAGTGCAATTCCCAGCAAGAACAGTGCAGAGGGTGAGTGCCCACTGCATTTCCAAACAAGTTTTCACTGCCCACAAACCAGGAGATTCATGGGTTGAAAAGTGCCACAAGTTGTCAGTGCGGTGGTTTCTGCCAGTGCTGGGTGGGTGGACAGAAACTCACCCAA